AATTTCCCAAAATTTCCCTGTTGTCCTTTAAAAAGTTCTTTTGGGTTTTTTTTTTTTTTTTTTTTTTTTTTTTTTGTTAAAATGTGTTGCAACATCTAATGTGAACATTTATTGCTTTTTGCAGGGATTTATATTGTTGTATTGTTTTGTAATATATATATATACATATATATATTATCTTTAATAGCCCTGTTATGTTTATTTCTGTACTACTAGATCCATATTCCTGAAGGAGGTTGTGTAGCTTGTCATGTATGGCCTGCGAATCTCCAGCCTGATATTATTTTTGAAAGCTTTTGTTGTTGCTTCTCTAACCTCAGCAAGTCACAGCTCAGCGGTTAACATGCGTATCTGTACCGACACGACGCAATGCCTAAAAGAAAACACACAAAAACAAAACAAAACAAAAAAAAGATTCACTCTGCACAAAGTTTTTCATGTTTTATTTTGAAGCGTTTTGTCGCAGTGTAATTCGAATCTGTTCCCGGCACTGATCAACAAGCGGAGTCATTTTAAAATCAAGGTGAAAACAAATTTCTTTCTTTATTTTTTTGGGTTTTAGCAAAAACTTTCCACATCACTTTCATTTGATCAAAGGCATTTTTGGGGGCTTGTTGATACCTCTGATTGTTTTTCCCTGCCAAGCTGCTATGAGTCACTGATTTCTCCGCATTGTGTTGCTTTTAAGGACATTCCTGCAGAAATTCAACTGCAACAACACTTGATAGTTTTGTTTGAGTTTACTGAAGATGGGCATCTTCACTTGATCCTCATGTGAAGATTTAATTCAGTGCCTTGGAAGTCATCCCAGTCTCTAACTGGTCCATTTATTTTAGCAAAAATGTTACCATGAAATTCTGTATTTTTACCTATAATTTGCCATGTTATTTAGGCTTAAATCCAGAGCCAGCCTGAGGCATAAGCAAACTAAGCTGCTGCAAACGTTCTCCAACTCTGTAGGATCCCCCAAGAGCTTTTTTATTTTTCACACTTAATAAATCTCAACCATTATTTTCTTGTTGTTTGGTGTTGACAAGAACGAGAAGTTTTAAATCTGCTATGCTCTTTTTAAAATAGTAGATTGCTTAAACTGAGTAAATAGGACCTTTAAATGATTTAGATTTTAAAGGAATGATAATGGTATGTTTATAAATAGGACAGAAAAAAATATTTTTTCTCACACATTCAAATGTTTTAGATCAACAGACAAGGGTAGGTTTAGTAAATACAAAATGCAATTTTCAACTAATTATTACATTTATTAAGGGAACGAGCCCTGCATCCAAATCATCATGAAACAGAAATTGCCATAACTGGTTGAGACATCCTTGGTGGCAGAAACTACCATCAGATGGTTGCATTAACTGGAAATCACTCTTTTTTTTATACTTTGGGGATTTTATTTTATTTATTTATTTTATTTTTTATTTTTTGCATAATCCATTCATTTCATATGCATTTTAGAATTGTAAAAACCACGAACAAACTACCTACCTGCTTACGGTCATGGCGCAGCATCTCAAGTTAATTTAGGCCCAGACTTTGACTGGACTTCTCCAAAATGTTATTTTTGTTCAGGACTGCTCTTTATTGTTGAACCATGAACACTGATCTTAAGCATCTGCCATGCTTTAGATGGCAAAGTTTCTTCTGTAATGTCCTGGATGAGATGCTGATGTTAAGGTCTTGGAGTAAATTTGGTATAAACACTCTGGAGTTCAGTGGAGTTCTGGAAAGTCGGTTTGTAACCCTTTCCAG